GGGTGCGCTGTTTTTGGTTTTGTTTTTCTTGCTCTGTCATCTAGGTAAAGCTCCTTTTGGAAAATGCGAGTCTGCCCCAGCACTGCTAAGGATGAGAAAGGTGTCTCCCTAATTGACTTGTCTAGTCTTAGTTTCCAGGTATGGCAGGAGCAGTGAGAAGAAAGGGACAGGCATCTCAAAAAGATGAAAATGTAGCAGGAGCCAATGAAAGGCCACTTGCGCAGCTGTTGGCTCCTGCTGTGCCTGATCCAAGGCCTCTTTCGTCTCCTCGGCTTTCTGTGGACTCCAGATTTGGGGTTTGCCCCCTTTTGGGGGCTGATGGGACAAGAGCTAGGGAGCCCGAGGACTGTGACAAGAGCCCAAATGAGGTAGCTTTTGTCACAGTTTGCTCATTTCCTCCTTAACCGGACAAACAGGCTATATTACTTTTCTATGCAGGTCTGAAACCTTATGAATTCTTTCATTACACTTGCTTCAGACCAGAACCCCAAAGTTCTTTCACTGTGGCTGCTAGTGTTCCCAGGTGCAAAGACTTCGTCTCTAACTGCCAGTTAAGGCGGCACCTTTACTGCTCAGTCACTTTATTCTGCTCACCTCTTGGTCCCCCACTAGTGGACTTTCTTTGCTGTGGTTCACCAACTCCGTGGTTCTAGGAAAATGTGTTGGTGAGCCGGCTCTGTGAAAGTCCAGTACGGGAGTGGGGACAGAAAGGATGGAGGAAAATGATTTAGTTCATTCTGATCCCTTGTCTTCCTTTGGAACAAGATATTCTCTCTTCTTTTGTGGAAGAGAAAGAGAAAGAAAGCCAGTCAGTCTGGTGTTGCCAAGGTTTTGTTGTTTGTTGTTTGTTTTTTTTTTTTTTTTAATTCCCCAACAACCTCATTGCTGCCTCCTAGTGAAAGCTTTAGAACTGAAAAAAGACCACTGACTGGGGAGGACTTCAGGGGGAAAAGAAGAAACTGAATTTATACAAACTCACAAACTTTTTCGGACAGAATCTGCCTCTCAGTTTCTGGCGAGACAGATTTGTGATCACGGGTATGAAGCGGCCACAAGGAAAATGCAGAGCCCACGCCACCTGTACTTCTCAAGATACAGGCTTCTTTGGTTGATCCCACTCAAGAGCAAACCATATAAAGCCCATCGAACTTATAATTCTCATTCAGTTTATTTCACCTTCACTTTTCACTCACACACACTATTTCCTATATCTTGGTATTTTTCATCTTTAGGTGTATCTTTAGGTTAAAAAAAAAAGAATAAAAATATAACCTCATCTCAATTCAAGCATACGATCTGTGGACTTTAAAACTGAATTTACATTTTGGCACGTAAGAGAGAAGACGGCATAAAAACTTTGTGAAAAGCTCAGTCAGATTCAGAGGAGAGGTGTGAAGGCTGGTTCATAGGACCAGGGCTGCCTTGCCTGCCTTTCACTCCCAGCTTACTGTGAGGACCCTGCCTTGGCTGGGAAGGGCGTAGGCCAAGGTTATTCACCCTCTGAAAACTGAAACTGAAAACCAAATCTCTCCTATTTTGACATGTGTGAAATTTAATTTGGTGACTAGGCAAACACACACACAGGAACTATTTTCTTTTTAGGTATGGAAAGCATCTTTGTTTTCTACAGTTCAGCCTTCTTGGACTTAAAAACTTTCAAATTTGGGTCATTTAATATCACTAAACAGGCAATACTGCACGATTTATAAAACTATATCCAAGGAAGCTTATGTATTTTACTTTCTCTAAGACGTTCTAACATATAAGCACACGTTTCAGTCCCATGTATGAACATTTTTTCCCCCATGGTAATAATTTATTACAATAGATTTTTTAATGTAAATTTGCAAAGAGCAGATTATAGTTTAACTCACCAATATAAATACCTTTTCTCAGTCCTTATCTGTATATGTTAAGATAACTTTCATTAGATTCAACTTTATCCACAATGTTTAGTGAATAACAGTTTTTCAAATTTTGCATCCCCACGCGTATGTTCTTCATATGACAGTGTATAATATTTTTGTCTCAAACCTACTATACAAGTTGGGTTGAAAGCTCGGGGATGATAATTTTGTAGTTTATCATCACAAAACAGTATATTTAATAGTTTAGTCTATGTAATTACACCTGCTAGTGTTTTAAAGTTACTCCACCCAGAGTCTGTGAATGACCGGGTGGCTTTATAGGGCTTGTAAAGGAAAATGGTTCTACAGAAATCAGCCCAATTGTTTCAGCAATACAAGGACATACAAAGTAAACATTTGTAAATAAGATACTGTAAGGCTAATACAGACTCCCATACATTCCACTGTTGGCTCACATTTCTGTATGTCACAGCAACTAAAATGAAAGCAATAATCACTATTTTTTAAATGAGTACTAAAACAAGCCTAACTTTTAAATATATCTGATGGCCCCAAACAGTTTTTATTTAAGTTCACAACTACAAGCAGTACCCTGTGTCTGTGTGTCTGTGTATGGGATGAACAGACATCCCGGGGAAGTCTTAAAGAGTTAACTGCTTACAGAACTTCCTGCTTGTATACACCACATGGCTAGGTCCCATCCTAACTGCCAAAGAAAGAAGGCAAGCAAGTTCTCCCTGAAGGACAGGCCAACTTGTGAATAAAACCTCTAGACCTATAATGCTATGAGTATGCTGCAGCATACCAAGAAGTGATAAAAATATGCAAACAAAATCATGCTTTTTTTTTTTTCCATCCTGTCGATTATGAGGAAAACACTACTCTTTCTAAAGGAAACTGAGCTTAACAGCATAAAGCTATTTCAGTACAGAGTGATTGGCATGTTTCACTTTGTTCTTTCGGAGCGACGTTTGACACTTACTGATTCTGAACACCTTCCCCCAGCTGTGCATTTAAGTGAGATAGTGTTAAGTTAACTGTACCTTAAACAGATCAGCGTAAAGGTGGCTCTGTCGACCAGAACAGAAACAAAACAAAACACTCAGATTTTTTTCAAAGAGCTCAACAGTCAGCCAAAGATGCCTATTCTCACCCTGGGCGAGCTCCTTTCCGAAAGGGTTGCCAAGAGCACGCTCAGTTCCTCCTGAGTTATTTTTCACTTCACTACCTCTGACTGGGTGCGTCACCAGCGCAAGAAAATGCGGGCAGCATCTGTTGCCAGTAACATCTGGACCTCCAAGGAAAATGAGCATTCTTCCTAGGAAAAGTCTCCAACATTTTCTAGAGCGCGTCCCCTCTTCTGCCGTCGTTGGAGAGGCTCTCCTCCTCCTGCGCGCCTCCTTCCTCCAGGCAGAGGAGCCCAGAGCCGCGACCAGGGCCGGGGTAGCCGGGATGACACCAGGGGTTGCCAGCACCAAACAGTGCGCAGACTCCGCGGCGCGCTCCTAGCTCTCCGCTCGCCTCAACCTGCTCTCCAGTGAATGGGGTGGGAGGAGGAGTATGGAGGGGGCGGAGGGGATCCAGTTTAATTCGCGGTCCTGGGGGTGTGGGAGCGGGAGGAGGCTCCGCTGGTCCCTCCTCCCTCCTGGAGTCTTGGGCTCCACCTCCTCCGCATGCCCCCAGATATACACACACTCATTCGCAGCCGGACATGCACACCCCGTGCCGGCTCCGGGCGCGTGCACACGCAGGTAGCCACACTCACCTGAGCCCGTGCACGGGGCTCCTGCCGCCTCGGGAGCGGCGGAGTGGCGGCCTGGGCCAGGAAGGGGCCCCCTGTGCTACGGGAGTGGGGGAAGCGGGAGCAGCCCCAGCGCGGACCTGCGAATAGAGGTGATGGCGCGTTTTGCTTAAATCCCCTCCTCCAGCACCTCCGCCCGGCGCCCGCTCGGCTCCGGCCGGAGAAGCCGGGAGAGCGGGGCCCCGGGCGCGGCGCACACGGGGGCGCACGCAGCCAGGCGAGCGCGCCGGCGCAGGAAACTTGGTTGAAGTTAGTTGCAAGTGCCGGGCGGCGGCCGGGAGGAGCCAGGAGGGGACGAGGCCCGGAGCCGGCCCGCCGCGCCGCACCGCGGCAGCGCCGCCCTCTACGCCCGGCGCTCTCCGGGAGCCCGAGTCGGCCGGTGCCCCTGGAGGAGCTCAGAGCGAGCGGAGCCGGCATGGCCCGGGGGACTACGGGACGCGGCGCCTCGGCGAGCCGGAAGGATTTCCCCTGAGGCCCAGCGACCCCAGGCTTGCTCAGGCCTCCAGCCTCCTTCCCGGACCGGCAGCCGGAGAGGAAGACCCGCGAGGCAGGTGCTGGGGCGGCAGACATCTCCCCCCCCGAGCCCCCAGCCGATCGGGGGTGGGGGGGATTCCCACCGGCGAGCCCTGCCGCGAGTCAGGAAAACCGGCCGGTGCTGCTGTATTTGTATTTATAACCGTTGCTGAGCTCTGCGTTCCCTTGCTGCGCCCGGACCCTCCTCCGCCTCCCCCTCCTCTTCCTCCTCCTGGGCCACCTCCCCTCCTTCCCCACCCCCATCTGCTACTGTCAAATGAGAAAGTCACCGAGGAGAACCCAAACACTCCAGCCGCCGAGGGCCCCCTTTGGCACTTGGCAGCACGCGGCGGCGGGCTCCTCGGCTCAACTTGGTGGGGTCCTCGCGACGCAACTTTCCGAGCTGCGCTGCGTTTGAGAGAGAAAAGACCGAGGACGAGGAGAGTTCTGCGGGGCAGCGACTACCTGCGGGGAGTTCGCGAGCCGACGCAGCCGGAGAGGAAGGACAAAAAGAAAGCAAAGGGCCCACTGCCACCGTGGGGTGGGGGCAGCGCCGAGAAGTTCCTGTGCCCCGGAGAGGATCTTCCCGGGCGCCCGGCGGGAGAGACCAGGGAAGGCCCGGGGCGCGGCGCGGCCCTGGGCTCAGCCCCCAGCCCCCTCTCCCCGGGCGGGAGCGACGCCGGGGCGCAAAGCTGGGCGCGGCGAGCGCGGGCCGGCCGAACGGGTCCCCGCGGACAGCCAACATTGATTTCCTCCGGGCGGAGGGCGACGGCCCGGGCGGCGGCGGCGGCGGGCTGCAGCCGCGGCACTGCGAGAGCATGTCCAAGCCGGTGGACCACGTCAAGCGGCCCATGAACGCCTTCATGGTGTGGTCGCGGGCTCAGCGGCGCAAGATGGCCCAGGAAAACCCCAAGATGCACAACTCGGAGATCAGCAAGCGCCTGGGCGCCGAGTGGAAGCTGCTCACCGAGTCGGAGAAGCGGCCGTTCATCGACGAGGCGAAGCGCCTGCGCGCCATGCACATGAAGGAGCACCCCGACTACAAGTACCGGCCGCGGCGCAAGCCCAAGACGCTGCTCAAGAAGGACAAGTTCGCCTTCCCGGTGCCCTACGGCCTGGGCGGCGTGGCCGACGCCGAGCACCCGGCGCTCAAGGCGGGCGCCGGGCTGCACGCGGGCGCGGGCGGCGGCCTGGTGCCCGAATCGCTGCTCGCCAACCCCGAGAAGGCGGCCGCCGCCGCCGCCGCCGCCGCGGCGCGCGTCTTCTTCCCGCAGTCGGCCGCCGCCGCCGCCGCCGCCGCAGCCGCCGCGGCCGCCGGCAGCCCCTACTCGCTGCTCGACTTGGGCTCCAAGATGGCAGAGATCTCGTCGTCGTCGTCCGGCCTCCCGTACGCGTCGTCGCTGGGCTACCCGACCGCGGGCGCCGGCGCCTTCCACGGCGCGGCGGCGGCGGCTGCAGCGGCGGCGGCGGCCGCCGGGGGGCACACGCACTCGCACCCCAGCCCGGGCAACCCGGGCTACATGATCCCGTGCAACTGCAGCGCGTGGCCCAGCCCCGGGCTGCAGCCGCCGCTCGCCTATATCCTGCTGCCGGGCATGGGCAAGCCTCAGCTGGACCCCTACCCCGCGGCCTACGCCGCCGCGCTATGACCCCGCGGGGCCGCCTCGCGAGGACCGGTGTGCGCACGTGTACATATGTATAGGTACGAGCTCCGCGGCCTCCCCGTGCGCCCTCCCGCGACGGGGGCCCCGGGTTGTATGTACATAAGATGTATAGGTGCAGGCAGAGGCAGAGATGCCAGTCGGGGCGCGAGTGGCAGAGCGCGCGCGTGCTCGGGCGAGTGTGCGTGTGGATTCACAGGATCATTTGAGACCCGCACTTCGGCAGCCCACTTTAAGGAGGGCGGTTGTATCCGACAGCGGTTAATGTTTGCTTTGCACTTCGGAACCTGTTGCGTTTGGGCCCAAGGAGGTGGAGGAGTAACTTTTTTTTTGACATGTCGGGCTTTCCAGTTTTGTTTGTTGGAAGTTATTTGTCGGTTTTGTTTTGTTTCTCATTATCTTTTTTGTTTGTTTGTTTTGTTTTTTGGGGGGGCCACCCCCCCCTCCTGGTCTGTGTCGCATGCACTCTGTTCAAGTGTTAGGTCTGAAATGGCTGGCACACGGGAAAAGCTGATCTGTGTCATTAGTTTCTCAGAGCGATATGGCTCTGAGCGGCCTTGCTCCCCATTTGTACTTTTTGACTTTGCAAATCTCTGTTCTCTCAAGCAGAACTCACAGACCGGATCCATTCTTGACCAGTGACCGGCTCCAATCTGGCCTTTTGTATGTGAGATGATCACGCTTTCTTTTGTTTATCACGTCATATGCAAATGAGAGCGAGAGCTCTTAAGAGCAAGGAATGCAAACAAGAAATCTGTGCGAGATGAAAAGTTGTCAATTCAGTTTTATACCTTAAAACAACAACAACAACAGCTGATAAGTCTCCCTGAGTCCACTTGCTCGGATTTCTGACACAGTTTACAGAAAGATAAAAGGCACTGTTCCTATTTTCCCCTTATGGCTGAGTTCACCTTAAGATTGTAAATGTGTATATGTCCGTGAAAACATGGAGTCTGAAAATGTGTTATTTGCGTTGCCCTAAATTTGAGTCGGTTTTAGACTCTAAAGCATTTTGAGCAAATGTCAAAGTTAACTTTTAAAAATTGCGGGACTATTTCAGAATCGCAATTTTATCTAAGATTAAATCAGACTTTTTTCGTCTGAGTGGTAATGATATATTTATTATTTAGCAAAACTGAAAAAAAAACAATTGTTTGACAGATGTCTCTGATTTTCAGCTAGCATTTCTTCACCAACTTGAACCGCTTAAATGTGTTTTGGAGTTCCTTCCCTAATTAGCTTATTTTTTAGATTACCTGCAATTCATTTGCAAATTATGATAAAACACATTTTAGAGAAAAGAACCTCAACTATAGCTTTTTGTTTCTTTTTAAATGTATATATTTTTGACTAATGTTTGTGAATGAAGTTGGCTAACATGTATTTAGTTTCATTTTGACTTTATGTAATATAAAGTTTTAAAAAGTTTAAGTATTGGTTTTAACCTTTATGTGTAAATGGTTTTCTTGTGTGATCTTCTAATTTAATATTAGACGTCTAAACTATATCTGTAAATTAGAATCCGACTATCACTCTGTTCATTTTTTTTGAACAAAGAGTTTAAATAAAGCCTGAACCAGGGAAAAGAGAAAATCCTCTATTTCTTGTTGAGTTCCTAACAAGATTTTTATCTGAATTGCCCTTACGTGCCTGGTCCAGGTGAAGTGTAAGGTATCCTCCAAAGGCAGCCTTTGTTTCACTTTTGAATAGATTTACTAGGAAATCTAAATCAAGCCATTGTTATTCAGAGCCAAAAACCTGATTTATCACATTTTTAATCGTGAATAGGAAAGAAGATTAAAAAAAAACAAAAACCCAAGTAGTTGTATTATCTTGGGGAAAAAAAAAAAAAAGGCATTCATGAACCAGTAGAACAGAGCCCATTGAAAACATCCAGACCGTTCAAAGCATTTCATGAGTTTCCAGTAACATTTTAAGAGAGGAAAGTTGCCTGACCACTTTATCTTGTTAGTGGGAGAGCCCCACCACTTAAGTCAGTGTAATGTGTTCACGGATCTTTGCCATATTCCTTGTTTACACCTTAAGATTTTATTTGGAAGGCTAATCACTGCTAACGATGATGTACAACTTTTGGCCTCTTAAGGGCTTTATTCTGTCATACCAAATGGCATTAAAATATAAGTATTACAAATTCTGCAGGAGAAGGTTGAATTTCCAGGGCTAGACAAGTTTTCATATACAGGATTTTCATTTTAGAAAGGAAATGACAGGGCACCAAGAAGACTATCAGAGAAAAAAAAAAATTTTTTTTTTTAACTGTAGGAAGATCTTGATTTTCCGCCCACCAAGAAAGAAATTCTCAAGATACAGGACTCAACTAGTCCTAAACTAGTTTCCCCATTGACAGAGACCATCTCTGGGAGCTGCACATCTTTATAAGCGACCCAACTCTTTAAAGTCATTGTTTTCCCCCAACGGAATAATATTTTAAAAACCATGAAAAGTTTTGGAAATGTGAGAAATAGTCTCTGCTGGTTTGACCCTGATTCACTAATTAAAACGATCCCTCTCCTGTTATTCCCTGAGCTCTTTGCAATATTATAAGTTAATTCATATGGTTCTGAGCGATTATGCAAAACTAATTTGGACTGTCCAGGGGTAATTATCCCTGACACGGTTAATTAAATCCTTTCAAGGCTTCGTCTTTCCCTTTTGTAGCAGCCCATCACTTCTCAACACGGAACTTCCTGCGGCTTGCTGGAAATCACCCCAGCCCTAAATCTTAGTTACCTCCCTGAGCCTTCCAGCTCGGGCCCCACCGGCTCCAAGATTCCCCGCCCCCTCCCACCCCCTCCCTTTTTCCCAAAGATCAGCGCTTTCTGGGAGCAAGGCTCCCGAGTGCTGATGAATAAGAAGAGGACTGGAAAGATGAGTAAGGGGAGGGGGGAAGCCGCTGGGGGTGCGCACACAGGGTCACGTCGCCAACAGATTGTGCGGCTGTTTGGTTGTTTGGGTATGTCCGCAGGCCCCACGGGGGTGACCAGGTTATCACCCCTTTGACTCCAGGATTCTTGCCAACAGGTTGCGTCTGGAGAAAACCTCGCTCCGAGTTAGACCGTGCAGAAGTAAGTGGGAGCGACTCTGGGGCAAGTGCGTGGAGAAGGAGTTAGGTGTGCGCGTCCAAGTCTGAAAGTGGCCACAGATACAGAGCGGGGATGAGGCAGAGCGCAGATGCGGGCTTGAGGTCTCTCTCTCTCTCTCTCTCTCTGTCTTCATCCCTTTTCTCTCCTCCCTCCCTCCCTCTCTTCCTTTCCTCCCTTCTTAGATTTTCCTTTTTTTTTTTTTTAAGGTTTAAAAAAGCCACGACGACATTTTTTAGGTAGTCACGGTTGCCCAAAGGCTTTAAACGAGCCTCACCTCTGAAGGGCCAGGCGTGTCGCCTTTAGGCTTGGCGCAAACAGGTGGAATCTACCCCGTCCAAGCCGTAAGCCCCGGCGCTGGGGGCCGCAGCCGCGCGAGAGGCGGCTTCCGGGCAGCGGTGGAGCTGGCCGCTATTGTCACTTCTCTGGACAATTTCCTCCCCTCTTCGCCCCCTCCCCGCCCACCGCAAGAAACGAGAACAAAACAGCGCCGGTCCCCCCTCTCGTCCCCCGACTCGGGCGGCCTCGGCGAGGGGCGCAGGAGATGGAGAGAGGATCCGACCGTCTGCCCCCAGCAGATAGGGACCCGCGCGCCAGCCAATCAGAGCGCGACTCCGCGCGGGCGCTCCCCGCCGCCGCCGCCGCCCCCTGCGGGCGAGGGAAGTTCCCCGCAACTCGCCCGCCCCCAGTGTCGGGGTCGGTCCTGCGCCCGCAGCTCGGCGGAGGCAGAGAGAGCGCCGGCCAAACTTTATTAATCTCTCCCGTGTTCTCTCTCCCTCAGCCCAGTGCATCTCAAAGGTCAGCCCTCTTCTTTTACAAGACTGATATTATTAATTCACTGACAATCCCCCCCCCCCAATTTCTTTTTTCTCTCTTGCAGGGGGAAAAAGGGAGAAAATCGTGAAAGAGCTTCCCCCCCATCCTTTTTTTTCCCCCCTTTTTTTTTTTTTTTTTTTTTTTTTTTTTTTTTTTTTTTTTTTTTTTTTTTTTTTTTTTTTGTCCTTCAGTGGGAGCGTTTAGACAGTCGAGGAGGTTTTGTCCGGGAACAAAACGCAGGGTTGGGAGGTTTTGTGAGAGTGTTGTTTGTTGAAGTGGAGCTAAGAAAAAGCGGCGGCTTTCTCCTCATTGTGAAGAAACCAATCAGTGGTATTTGGAAAACTGTTAGCATTGTGCACTTCTTCTGTGTCCATTGTGAGGCGTTTCTTTTCACAAGGTTTTTTTTTCAGCCGATCCAGCTGGCCGGAATGAATAGCGGTGCAATGTGTACACGCTTTGTCCCTCCGGCCTTCAAGTAGCCCCCATTGAATAGACTAAGTTGACACTGCGTGACAGTGAAACAACATAATAAAAAATACATGAGCCCCTGAATAGGAGCAGGCGCATAAATAAATAAAATGGGTGACCAAAACTGGATAAACTGAATGACAAAACGGTGAAAGGGGAACAAAAAGATATTTAACACGCTAGATTAGCATTAGAATGCGATCTACAAGGCAGAACAATTGATGAATAGGTTTACCGGCCAAGAAAGAAATGGACTAAATGCCCTTTGAATAGATATGCTTTTTGCAAGGGCTTTGAATAGATATGCTTTTTGCAAGGGTTGAATGGGAAAAGGTAAAGATGAAGCTATGCAAATGAGCGGGGGAACTTTTTATATATATTCTTTAAACACACACACACACACACTGCGGGAGGAGAGTGCTGCCTCGGGATGTTTATAGAAGCAATAATTGCCTTTATTAGCATTGTCTGCAGCAGATAGAAATTGAACAGGTTGGGATAATATAGGGTAGCAGTAATTATTCTTCTAATTAATGGTGCTTTGGTACTTGAGAAAAGAAAAAAGGAAAGGAGAAGTAAAAGTTATGCAGAAGTTATGTTTCC